TCATCGACACTTTTGGTGATTTGAGGACGGAAAAGAACGATAAAGAGGATGTGCTGAAGAATACATGTTTCATCTGCGGATTAGAGCGTGGAAAGTGAGTCATAGGTCCATTTGAAACCTTCTCCTTCAAATGAATGTTTTTTTCTGCCAGAGGTAGGGCGAGCGAGCTAGTTGTAGCTGGAGCTTATCGGGGAGAGGACTGGATTTCCACTAATTGCAGTCGTTTACCTGCTTCACAGTTGGTGGGAGCAGGCTGGCTTTATCCCAAACTCAACCCCCTGACACGCCCCATCATACGCAGCGAAGATGACTGCACACGTTGTTCCCAACTATGGGCTCATCGCCGCCCGTTCCACTATTTATGATTATTGCCAAATACGTGGACTTTAGGTTCGACAACCGATCAGTGACATTCGAAGACCATCAAGCTGAAGAACACAATCTATGGCATTACCTCTATTTCATCGTATGGCTGCAAATCAAAGACGAAACCGAGTTCACCGGACCGGAAAGTTATGTTGCGCAGTGTGTAAAGGTTGGTGACATTTCACTACCCTGCGTGAGAGGAACTGATTTGACAGGCGCAGCCGCGTACGGTCGCGTTGCGTCACAGGACCCAGCTTGTCTTTTACAAGAGCACTGGTTTTCTGGATTTTCTAAGGTAATGTGAAGTAAGTCGATCATCTGGCCGATCGCTTGCACCCTCACATTCCCTCTTGAGCGTCGTAGCAAATTCAGTCGTCATCCCTGCAGAGGGAAGGTATATGAGGGGGCGTGGATTGGAGCACAGTCAGCGCGGCATTTTTCACCAATAGACGCCATCCTGTCCTTGCGACAATTGGTGGAAAAAAATGCCCTAGTTGCGCTTCAATCCACATCTCTTCTAACGCCCTCTCGTTTGCAGGTTGGACTGTACAAAGCCTAAAGTGGATAAAGCTTTGACGAAATTCTGGGACGTCGTGAAAAGGCCCTTCAGATTTTACGCAACAATCTCGCACTTTTTGTTGCTTTCTGATTTTTCCGAATTGATCCAGATATTTGCCAAGTGGCTTCTTGGCAGCAGGACCTTCTTCAGAGCCCATAAATCGAGCTTCAGACTTCTTTTCACTGATTCTATTAAGGATCGTAATCTGGACTGGTTCCCACGGATGCAGGCGATA